TGAGTTGATAAGTACATATGTTTTAGACAAATTGGATAAAGTATGTCTGTGTGCACGCGCTCACGCGCACATGCGCATGTGTTTGTGTGTGTGTATCTTTATATGTATGATAAAAGGTTTCTTAGAAATGGGAACAGAGAGCAGAAGGATTTGTTGAGGTAAAGGTAGTGCTTGGTATGTTAGGTAATTGGATCTAATCAGGTTAAGAAAGGATGAGCTACTTAATAAAGGTTAAAGCAGTTATGATAATGGTTCTTTTTCTAGGGTGTAACTTTCATTTTAGTTTTTCAGCATGAATAAAAAATTGTCTTTTACATCAGCCTGATATACTATAATAAAAGTATTGCTTCTTATTTGCAGAATGTTATGACAGACTACTTAGCTTTATGACCACTTTGCCACTTATCTATGCTCCAATGCCAGGTTGACTCCCAAGGATAGCTATGGAGTTTCAGGAATGTCTATAGGTGTAGAGAAAACCAACAAGTAAGAGGCACCCCAATCTGCTGAGATAAGCAAGAAGAAAAATAGATATGGAAACTTTGAAGAATGAAACTCTCCATATATCCATAAATAGCCACTCCCATTGTGGTTAGGGAGAGCAGCAAATGAGAAAATGTTGCTTGAAGAAAAAGACTAGATAGAAATATTGAGGGAGATGATGAGGTCATGATATAGGTAGCAGTGGGCAATTTAAACTCTAAATCGAGGAAAAATGCCAGGTTAATAACTCCTGCACACACTGGGGTATTTAGAGTTCAGTTGCAGAGACTTCCAAAAAATAGATTTCTTTTCCTCCTAGAGTTTGAATGAAAGTCCCTATTCTGCAAACTAAGACACTGTCTTACGATTAGACACAAGCTAGTGACCAAAATCATCAAGTTCTCTTGGAAATTGTGACTATTGAAAAAAAGTTTAATCTTTCAGAAGAAATAGACTCCTGTGGAAGTGAACATAAAAATACACTGTAAGGAAAAAAAAAAAGCCAAATTGAGAGGTTTGGAAGCTCCACATACAATACGGGAAAAGAGGATAAATTCAGCAACAAGAAAAATGCGTGGCATAATGGAAAGTGTCTCTGCACAAAATTCTGAACAGCATCCTGATTGAATAGAGAACTCAAGATGACGACACCAAAGGAGAAAAGTTGATAGTCGAAATGAAAGTTGAGCCTAGCTTATTTAACTTGGCACAACATCCTCCAGTTCCATCTATGTTGTCTCAAACAATAGGATACTGCATGATCTCACTTATAGGTGAAATCTAAAAACATCGATCTCGTAGAAACAGAGACCAGAAAGATGATTACCAAAGGCTGGCTGGGAAAGGGTGGAATAGGGAAAAGGAAGATGTTGATCAGAGGAATAAGTTGTAGTGATCTACTGCACTGCAGATGACCACAGTTAATAATGATGTATTATAGATTTCAAAATTGCCAAAAGAAGAAATTTTTAACAGTCTCACCACAAGAAAATAAGTTGGTGAGGTGATGTTAGGTTAAATAGCTTATTGACTCTATCTACTGCTGCATGTATAGATCAAAGCATCACATGACACTTCATAAATATAACAATTATTATTTGTCTATTAAAATAAATTTTAAAACATAAAAATTGAGAAATATATATAAGAAGTATTTGAGATAATAGACCATGTTTTCAAATGCCATTTTAAAGTGAACAAATGCAAGTAAGCTTCATACCTGTTATCTAATATTTGAAATAGAAAATACTATTATTGAAACTGGACTCTAATTTTAGAATCTTTGCCACAATTGTGTTCTTGTAGAACCACATTACTAAAGTATACAGTAGGTAAGCCAATTTGATTTTATCTTCATGTTACTATGGACTATAATAACCTTAGGAGAGGTTCTAGAACAAGTTCTTCTTAGATGGAATTTTATATAATAATGAGTCTCAAAATTTAACATTATAATTTGTTTGAGCATTAATTAGTCCTAGACAGACTTAAGGTGATGATTTTAAATTTCTATGAATATAAGTTTAATTTGTTTATTGGCCAATTTTTATATGTTAACTTAAATGAATAAAGAAAATTCTATTCTCTTGTGTAATAGTAACTTCTAGAGCAGGCTAAGGAAGTCTGTGTCCTTCAAAATTTGTTCCTGTCTATAGTACACAGAAGCTGATGAGACTTTTAGCCACCATTCAGCATTTATGCATGTACAGATTCTTGAATATTTATTTTGTGCCAGAATCTGTGTTATTTGATACATAATGCTACTTTAAAAGTATGCTGTAAACTGTGATTAATATTAATAAAAGAGACATTTGTAAGTCTTATACATTGTACAATATTAGAAAAAAAAGTGACAATCCATGACAAAAAGGACTTCCAAAATAGGATTGAAAGAGCAGTCATGAGAAATAGAAGCACCAAAAACCAGATACTGGTGGAACGGGTAACAAAGGAAAGCAGGAAGACCAAGAAAAGAAGTGAAATTTTCAAACGATAATGAAAATGTGTCACTAGCTCAACAGAGTAGAAAAATGTAGCGTGTTTGTGTATGTTTTTTTATGCCTATGTGTATGTGTTAACGTAAAATACATATGTTTGCTCTTTCTGTCAGATTCTTTTCTGATAATGGCCTTAGCCTATATTTATACCAATAATTTGATATAGGGATTTATAAAAAGATGCTGAATATCTCAACAGGCCTCACACCACTGGACCCCTTAAAGTCTCCAGAAAAGTAAAGCCAAGGAAGCTGCATGGTCACTCCACAGAGAAAGAAGAATTTACCTTTTCATATCAATGCAAAACTGACTCTCACTGCCTTCTCAGATTTGATGCAACAAGGACAGCTTCGATGCCCTGATATTTCTAAGGATTGAGGTTTTTGGATATTCCTGGAGAGAAAAAAAAGTTATAAATTCCTAGGTGTTTCAGTTTTTAACTTAAGCTAAGGATGTACTAGAAAATAAGATTTAGGTTTTAAGTGTTAAACCTTTAAAGATTTTAAACCTTTCCATATTTTCTAGTTTCTCTTTCCCAACTACCAGCACCGCAAGATATCTCACTGGTTCACTACACTGATGACATTATGCTGATTGGATCCAGTGGGCAAGAAGTAGCAGACACAATGGACTTATTGGTGAGACATTTGTGTGCCAGAGGATGGGAAATAAATCCAAGCAAAATTCAGGAAACTTCAACCTCTGTAAAATTTGTAGGGATCCACTGGTTGGGGCCTGTTGAGATATTCCTTCTAAGGTGAAGGATAAGTTGCAGCATTTGGCCCATCCTATGACCAAAAAAGAGGCCCAATGCCTTGGGGGCCTATTTGGATTTTGGAAGCAACACATTCTTCATTTGGGTGTGTTACTATGGCCCATTTATTGAGTGACCCTAAAGGCTGCCAGCTTTGAGTGGGGTCCAGAATAGGAGAAGGCTCTGCAACAGGTCCAGGCTGCTGTGCAAACTGTTCTGCCACTTGGGCCATAGGACCCATCAGATCCAATGGTGCTTGAGGTGTCAGTGGCGGATAAGGATGCTGTTTGGAGCCTTTGGCAGGCCCCTATAGTAAATCACAGCAGAGGTCTCTAGGATTTTGAAGCAAGGCCATGCCATCTTCTGTAGGTAACTACTTTCCTTTTGAGAGGCAGCTGTTGACCTGCTACTGGGCTTTGTTGAAAACTGAACATTTGACTATGGGTCATTAAGTCACCATGCGAACTGAACTGCCTATCATGAACTGGGTGATTTCTGACCCATCTAACCATAAAGTGGGTCATGTACAGCAGCATTCCATCATCAAATGGAAGTGATATATACGTGATCGGGCTTGAGCAGGTCCTGAAAGGACAAGTAAGTTACATAAGGAAGTGGTTCATGTGCCTATGATCTCCACTCCTGCCACCCTGCCTTCTCTCCCCTAGCCTTCACCAATGGCCTTATGAGGAATTTCCTATGATCAGTTGACAGAGGAAGAGAAGACGAGGGCCTGCTTCACAGATGGTTCTGCATGATATGCAGGCACCACCCAAAAATGGACAGCTGTAGCACTACAGCCCCTTTCTAGGATATCTCTGAAGGACAGCAGTGAAGGGAAATCCTCACAGTGGAAATAACCTTGAGCAATGCATCTGGTCGTTGACTTTGCATGAAAAGAGAAATAGCCAGTTGTGCTATTATATACTGATTTATAGGCTATAGCCAATGATTTCACTCAGTGTTGGTCTCTGCTGCTGCCAAATTGGAAACTTAACCATGACTACACCGAGGTCAGCCTTTTGAAGTCACAATTACAATGCCAAATAGGTGATTATACTCTTTAGGACTGGTACAATGTTCTCCAGAAGGCTGTATATGCTCTGAATCAACATCCAATATATGGCACTGATTCTCCCATAGCCAGGATTCAAAGGTCCAGGAATCAAGGAATGGAAGTAAAAGCGGCACCACTCACTATTACCCCTAGTGATCCACTAGCTAAATTTTGGCTTCCTCTTCCTGTTACATTACATTATGCTGGCCTAGAGGTCTTAGTTCCAGAGAGAGCAATGATGCCACTAGGGGACACAACAACTATTCCATTAAACTGTAAGTTAAGATTGCCACCTGGACACTTAGGGAGCCTACTACCTTTAAGTCAACAGGCTAAGAAGGGAGTAACAGTGTTGGCTGGGGTGATTGACCCAGACAATCAGGATGAAATCAGTCTACTACTCCGCAATGGAGGTAAGGAAGAGTATGCCTGGAATACAGGAGATCCATCAGGGCCTCTGTTAGTATTACCATGCCCTGTGATTAAGGTCAATGGGAAACTACAACAGTCCAGTCCTGGAAGGACTGCAAATGGTCCAAACCCTTCAGGAATGAAGGTTTGGGTCACTATACCAGGAAAGAAACCACCACCTGCTGAGGTGCTTGTCGAAGGCAAAGGGAATACAGAATGGGTAGTAGAAGAAGATAGTCATCAATACCAGCTATGACCATATGACAAGCTATAGAAATAGGCACTATAATTGTCATGAGTATTTCCTTCTTCTTTTGTTAAAAACATGTTTGTGTATGTATACACTTGTACTAAGAAAATATCTTCATTTTAGTTCCTTTTTTCTTTGTCATGTGACATAAGAATTATTGACTTCACATCAGCATTTAAGTGTTGTTAACTTTATGTCATAGTATTTGGGTTGGGGATTGGAGTGTTTTAGTTGTATGAAGGATAGTTGTATTATGTTACACATAATTATGACCATATTATCGTCTTTATTTGAAGATTATGTATGATCTCAGGAGGTGCATATAGGTTCAAGTTGACAAGGGTAGAACTTGTAAGTGTCACCTTGACTGGATTGGAGGATGCCAAGTATTGATCCTGGGTGTGTCTGTGAGAGTGCTGCCAAAGGAAATTAACATTTGAGTCAGTAGGCTGGGAAAGGCAGACCCACCCTTCATATGGGTGGCTATTGTCTAATCAGCTGCCAGCACAGCTAGAATATAAAGCAGACAGAGAAACATGAAAAGACTAGACTGGCCGAGCCTCCCAGCCTACATCTTTCTCCTGTGCTGGATCCTTCCTGCCTTCGAACATTCGACTCCAAGTTTTTCAGTTTTGGGACTTGGACTGGCTCTTCTTGCTCCTCAGCTTGCAGGCAGCCTATTGCGGGACCTGTAATCATGTGAGTTAATACTTAATAAACTCCCCTTTGTATACATATCTTATTAGTTCTGCCCCTCTAGAGAACCCTGAGGATCACTGGATTCCTGAACTACCTGGCTGGAGCCTGGGGGATTTGAAACTTGCTATTTTAAACATATAGGATATTATTTAATAACATGTACATTTATGGAAGTTTCTTACCCTCTCTTTGCTTTAGCTCTATTTGTCCCTATGAAAATAGGGAAAATAATAATATCTGTATATAGAGAATTTGAGGTGGGTAAATAGATAATATATGTAAAGCATTTGAAACTATGTCTGGTACTCTGATAAATAAATAAATGTTAGAATTATCAACACTACCATCCTCTTTATTATTGTTCCATTGACTTATGTATCTGCTCTTTGGAACTGCCTTCAGAGCAACAATCTTGCACCATTCCCCTAAAAACTCTAACCTCATCTCCCAGTGCATAAAGTGACTTGAATAAGCTATGGCCCTTTTCAAACAGTATAATTTATTCATTTATTCCTTAAATTGTCCATTCAACACCTACTAAGTAGAATACTGTGTGTTCAACACTAAAGTTAAAGCTGATTTTGGAAGACAGAGAGAAAACTGTTTCCACTTTCCTGAATAGCTGCTAATTGCCTATTGCTCCTTTATGTTTTAGCTTTACTTCACAAAGATTAATTTGCTAGACAGGATGATGAATCCACTAAATAAGTCTCCTTGTGCTATTATTCTTAAATAAAGTATAATAGATTCCTACAATTAAGTACAAATTTTAAAAGGCCAAACATTTTAGTTCTTTATGGAGTAATTGCAACCTTTAAATGACCACTTACTGTGTTCCAATGACCTTTAAAATAAATTTTCATGTGTTACCTCATTAAATCTTTATCATAACATTGTGAAGTAGACATTGTTATTTTGATTTTATAAATAAAGATGCTGAAGTTTAGAGCAGTTAGTTAACTTTCCTGCAGTTATAGAGATGCTAATTAGCAAAGGTTTAATTGAAACCTGTATGACTCAAAAGCCCAGATTTGTAAACATGCAGCTACTCTACTTATCACTGACAGTTCTCAACAATATATGTGAATCACCTTCAGTTTATTGCAATAAAAAATATTCACATGTCATTTGATATTAGGAATAGCCTCATTTAGATATCCTAATTTCCCTTCACAATAAGTGTATAAAGTGTAATAAAGTACCCCTTTATAGAAAAATAAATTCAGATAATGGGACTTAGTTGAAATCGTGCCAACTCTTCCAGTTAGCACAGGGTAGAGCCAAGACACGAATTTCTTACTATGGATGATATTTGCGAATTAAAAGATTTGTGAATGCACTGTAGCAGCGGTAAGATATGTTCTACAAGAAACAATCTGGACTGAAATAAGTTGAGCAAGGATAGTAAATAAAGTAAGGTTTCTAATAGAGGCAGATATCAAGGCCAAAACATCTACTCTAGGAAAACAGTAGAGAGATGAGGGGGCAAGTACACAAAGAGTACAGCAAGAACACAGGCACAGTTATCATCTCAGTTCGTTATCATTAACATGAGATGACTCACCTCTCATCTTTCAGATTATGCGAGAGGCGTATTTAAATTACCTAAATCAATCAGGGTTTAATATAAGAATAAACCAGGGCTAGGAAGAAAGTAAATATGATCATTGTATTTTCTGGTTTTATATCCTCCAGTGGTTCCAATAATCTGTAGGATAAAAATTGGAATCCTGCTTTACAAACCTTTTATATGCTGAGTAATGACTTCATCTTCGGCCTTATTTCTAGCTGTTTCTGCTGCCCTACTAAACTTATTTCAGCTCTTTTAAAAGATTGTGATCTCTCATATCTAAGAAATGTTTTATGTTTTGAATTCAAAGACCAAATGGGAGGCTCTGACTTGGTCTAGCAATCATCATCCAATACTGTGCAAAGGCACTGCTCACAGACAATGGGCAAGCAGATACATGGTGGTCTTTTATCCAGGTGCCACTCTCTTCACTGTGACTTCAGGTGATCTATGGTTATAAAAACTACCTGCACTCAGTTCCTTCAAAAAGAGTATATGGAAGTGGAATCCTCAAGCCAAAATGGAACCTGATGATAGGAGAACCGGCCAAAATGCAGAGCAAACAAGCAAAATCATCATTAGTGGCACCTCCGGGATACAGTCACATATTATCATGTAGTACCTTAGGACTGAGTCAATGAATTGTTAAATATTTCATATAGGTTAGTAGACATAAAGGGGTTAAACAACGAACTTGGATTAATGCCCTAAATAAGCAGCAGCTGTTAGCAAAGTCATTACTTAGGGTTATGTTTACTCTTTTATCATCAACTGTAATTATTTGTTTGAATGGAGATCCTGTTGTTAGCAGTCAACATTTCAGGTAGTAAAAGAAAACAGCTTACATTTGTCAAGTATGGATCACAGAATTTTGCCAAGTGTAGCTCTAGACTCACTTACTACTTTAATAAGAAGTTTGCTAAAGAAAGATTTTTCTTTACAACAGATACAGAGAACCTCATTAGTGAATTTGCTAATTAGACTTTGGCTTTAATAGATAAACACACTGAAGTAGGAGGATAGACTAATCAGTTTTGCTAAGGGAGTATGGCTGCCTTCCATTAAAAGAAACCCTTGGGCTTCTAATGGGTTACATTATTTATGGTGAATAATCTTTGGAAAATGAATTTTAAGAAGACTACTATGTTTTAAAATTTCAAATCACTCTAACTGTAATAGAACTTGACCATTGAATTATCATAGTAGCTATTACAGTTGTCCATTTCAAAATAAGCATTAAATATATCAAAATTTACATTTTACATATTACTAATTTAATTTCCTAAATATAACTGATAACTATTATTAAACCAGTTTATTTCATGGCTTGGGGTGTTCTAAATAGGCCATGTATTTTGGAGTTTGATGTGAACAAATCTGATTACTAGACAAATCAACTAATTAAAATGGTTTTATACATGTTTTATTTTATTCACATTGCATAAATTGTTATATATTTTATTAATAATATATTTTTACCACTTATTGTACCATTGTATTATTTTTACTTTCTCATTCCATCAATATATTAGCAAAAACATAGGCAGGAAACACAAATATTTCAATGAGCAGACATAGAAAGGAACTACTTACAAAGGAGTAGATAGGGATAAGAAAACCAGTATGAGGTGAGACACCCATAGAAGCAGTGAAACGCCATTACCACTCTTAGTGCTGAAGGAAAGAGAAGAGGATTATCAAAGCCCACTGAGAACCAGAACTCTGGAAGAGGTCTCATCTGCCATAGAGGATACTGCCATACACTGTGTATTGATCAAGGGAAGAGGCAAGGAAGAAAAACTGTTCTATGGTCCTTGGTCTCTCACTCCATCTACTCTAATCTGCCAGGGGCTCCCACTGAGTTGACCCAATCTGAAGACAGCTAGAGAAATTTGAAGAGTCAGTCTACAGGACTTAGCCTCCTAGGGAAGAGCATAGTAGAGAAGGGCAGTATGTGGTTTGGGATAGAGCAAGCACAGTATATTCCACAATTGTCAATATAAAGAGATAGGTTTTAAGTTTTCTTAAAAGGGATTTTTATTATGAAAATCCTATTTGGTATTAGAAAATAATTCAAATAAGTAGAAAAGTAGAGAGAACACTCTACTGAGTTTCTCTGTATAAGAACAGGTTTTCATTTAATTTTAAAAAGCTGCTTATGTTTGTTTCATATTTTGACAAAAATCGTATTTACAGTTGAAGTCCACTACATAACTCTGAAACTATTCCCCTTTTTTATGGTTAGGAAATGTTATGATTGATGATTCCGGAAATGTATTTAGAATTTTACTTAATATAAACATATATTATATAAGATACATACATATACAATTATATATAATTATATACAACATATACAGATGTAATTACATGTATTGTCCAGTGAGTTTTAATCTTCAAATAAATTGTATTATAATGTATGGATTCTTAATAGGTTTACTTTTCTTATAACTGTACAATATAAAATTTATTCAGAAGGATGTAAGAAATTGTATTTCATACATTTTAGCTGCTTCATCATATTCCATTGTATTTGTTATAAAAATTTCTTTATAAATTCTTATATTAAAGGATATGTAAGTTGTCTTCAATTTTAACTGTTGGAAATAATGCTATATTTGATGTGATTATGATTCTCTATTTGTGCCATCATAATCAGGAAGCCTGGTTAGGTGTATGTCATTTCACTTGATGAAAGTGTGCTTGTAGGCCTCCTTGATTCATTGCTTAGTTGCCCAAGGTGCAGTATCTCCTGGATTCCCATAATCAGGCATTCAGTTTCCATCTGTGTCCCAAAAGAGTGACAACTATTTCTTAAAAGAAAAATTGTTATTTTTAAAGAGCATAAGAACTTGAGAAAAAAAATCCCAGTAGCTCAGTTTGGATATTGATAATAGCTAACAGTAAACAAGGAGACTAGATGGATAAAATAAAATATACTTATTTATCAGAAAACATTAAAAAGTTATCAAGATATTCAAGAATTATGAGGTAAAGATTTAAAAGAAAGAGAAGCAAGGCTTATATTTATGATGACTTTTAACCTGAAAATTCTGGTGAAGAAGACTGAGAGTTTGCACAAGTGAGCAGTGCTTTCTACAGATGGGAGAGAGAATGACTGGAATATTGGCTTACAAGTAGAGAGGCCCTGGCAAACCCCCTAAGTCTATACCCTATGAAGAGGGTGAAAGAGAAGTAGTGGAGTCTTCACAGGGTCTGAAGCCCAGAATGGAATGATATTAATCCCTGGTTAGAATTACATTAATCTAGGATGGCTAGTGATTCTTAAATGGCCACCATATGATAGAAAAGTTAACTCTATCTTGGAGTAAAAGAATAGTATCTGGAGTCTCAATTTACCTTTACAGTCTTAATACATACTACCTGATAATCAAGAATAACCTGGTATGCAAGTAGATAAAAGTAAAAGTGACCACAAACCAAAATAATTAATCAGATAAGAGATTCAGATTATTCCATTACATGGCACAAGTTTTAAAATAATTTTAAATGTTTCAGTAAGTAAGAGGCACAATTTTGTAATTTCAGCATTAAACTATAAACTTAAAAGATAAGGAAAATTGAAATTGTAAAATTTAAAAACACAATAACAGAAACTAAGAACTTAGTGTATGCAACAGTAGATTAGACACAGCTGAAGAAAGAATTAGTAAATTGGGAAGCATCTCAAAAGAAAATATTTAAATTGAAACAAGGATAAACAAAAGGATAGAAAAAAGCATAAGAGAAGGTAAAAAGGCCTAGAGAATGTTGCTCAAAGTGTGTCCTCAGGGAAATGAATATCTGTAAACTGTTACTAGTCTACATGAGATACATCAGAAGTTGAAAATTAGCACTTAGAACTTTTTATAACAAGTTGATCCTGCCACTCTATCACATTTTTCAAAAGTATAGGCCATCAGTAGATTTGATAAAAGAAAATGAACAAACAATACAAAAATAACCACATTCTTTATCACAAATATTTTAAGAAACTGGTAATTAAAATTTTGAAATCAGATGTGAAAAAGAATGAAATAAATGCACTTTCATCTGTATTAAACCACTGAGATTTTAGAGTTAATATCACAGTATAACTATCCAATTTTACATAATTTTAAGGATAGTAGAAAAACTATTAATAATTTTCAATGTTAATCCAGGGTAGAATTAACTATACTAAAATTCTTGAAATAGTAAATATTGTATCAGAATCTCTGAGTTCTACTCAAATTCTTTGCTCATTTCACTAGCTGCCAGCAGTGTAAACTTCTGATTATTACAGTTGTATGCCTCTGTGTGAAGAATTGTCCGAACTGAAGAGAGGTACTTCATTCCAGCTTTCATTCCTCTCCTAATCTGCATTCAAAACTAATTGATTCAAAAAAATAAATAAAAGTCTCAAGTTTGAGCCATCTTTAAAGAAACATTCCAGCTCCAGCTACAGATGGCATACCCAGGGATATTAATGCAACTGCCTTGGAGTTCAATTTCTCTTTTCAATTCCTATTTTTCTAACTTTGTTAACAGTGCTGTCTTTGAGGGTCTCCTGCATACAAATTTCCTCCAATAGTCTGTTTCTGTGAAACTTAATCTAAAATCATTGGTAGAGGACTGATCTTAGGAAATTGACCCTAAAATGGAATTTTAACGTTGAACGATCACTCACAGCCTGGCTTGCAATGAATACCCATACTAGTGGTTGGGAATGTTTTGATTATTCCTGGTATATTGTTCTGGTGCAATTGTTAAAACTTTTATCACTAGTAATCAGAGATGTTGTATAAATTGAAGATTGAGCACTGTCAGTTCAATGCCTCAAACATTTGAGAATTATGGGGAAAGTAGTAAATAGTAAAGACTAGAATTGAATGTCCATTGCTGAGTGCTATAGATTAATTGAAGAAAGCCAATGAAGTCTAGGGCACTTAACCACCATTTCAATGTTAAGTGTAAATTCAGAGTACTCGGCAGCCTGTAAAGTAACTACTCTCCTATAACTGGTAGATAAAATAATCTAGGATTAGTCACAGTATTTAATTCTAAGTAGAGTGAAACTCCAAAGTTGAATTCACAACTCAATAGATCTTCTACTTGCAAATTTTGGCACAGATTTTAAGGGTATTTTCTTCAAACAGTAAATGTATTTCAGGAATCTTGAGACCTTGATATGGCTGGCTTCTCTGAGGTAAAGTCTAGCGCTCACCACTCTTCACTTCCTAACTCCCTCATCACTTGAATATAGTATAGAGGTCTCTGCTTTGCAAAATAATGAGTCTGGTTGTAAAGTGTTTCATGTATGGGAAATGAACATTGAGCAAGGGAGAGACTAAGTTCCCATAAAGAAAGACATAATAACACCACAATGCATGTAGGCAGTAAATATTCTCCAAGTCATTCCCCACAGAGACCTTTGGAAACTTATTAGAAGAGCCATACACTGGAGTGTGAGATCTACCCAGATATCTTGAGTACCTAGGCTGTTAGTAATGGTTGTATACTTAAATCATTATATTTTCTAGGTAGAAGATGATACTTCTTATCCCACTTGTTAGATTGGTGCAGGTGCAATGGAGAAAGGTATGGGAGTCATATAATTGAGTTCTGTCTCTATTATTTTTCACCACGAATCTATTGGACTTACAGACATACCCAAGGACTTTTCTTCAGTTCATAAATGTACAATTAGAATATAAATACTTGACAGTTACCAGGATCCTTGTATCAATTCCATGGCCTGTGAGGTGACGGCTATATTATTGGTAAATGACAATTAAAAGTCCCAGCTAAGACATTAAGTTAAAAATTACCCTTATCCATGAGGATATAGCAAAGATTAGGGCTACTACTTTTTTTTCATCAATATATAAAACTTTTATTCTTTGATATGTACTGTTAAAAAGACAAGTCACAGTTGTCTCACAAAGAAATTATGTCCAAAGTATATAAAGAATTCTCAAAACTTAATAATTATAGTAATAAAAAACAACTGAAGAGTAAAATAATTCAGGATCATGGCGTCTACCATTCAAATTTAACAGTCTGGCTCTTACAAAGTTCAGATTGATTTTGGTGGGTGGCTGTAGATTATAATGAATTTAAGCAGCATAACAGTCCTAACTACAACTCCTGGGATAGAAACAGTATCTCTTCTAGAGGAAATTACTAGAACACAGACATTCTCTATATGCCTGTATTAATCCAACAGATGGTAGATCAGAGATAGTCTGCATTCATATGGGATATACATTTGTAGCTTTGGTTGAAGGAGATACTAACCCTCTTTAACTCTGTAGTAATATAATCCCAGGGGACCTGAACAGTCTGGACACTCTGACATTATTCCATTATGTGGATGATTGGGATTTCTGGAAAAGAGGCTTGTGGATTAATCTGTAGGAGTGGGCATAAAGCATAGTGACCCAGGAGATGAATGTCTACGATAAAGTATTGACCACAGAAGATACTTAATAGTCAAGTAGAAAGAATGACCCATACAATTCACATCAGCCAGCCTCTGGCATTGGCCATTCTAGTGCTGACAAATAGTTCATAAACAGCATACATTTAATGGGAAAGATGGAGTCTCCTCGTAGACCTTAGAACATCAGCTTCCACTCACCATGATCTAACCTACCATAAACAAAAAGCAATACACAGCCTCTGACATGACAATATTCTTTGAAGAGTCCAACTACCCAGTTGTGACAATTAGTTACTTTTAGATTAGCTATATATTTGTGATTTAATGATAGCTCCCATTAGATACTATCTCACTGCATATCTTGAATAATAAAATTTCTTTAACACAATGTAATTATGGTTAACCCCTTTCTAGATGATGCATTATCATTGTATTGCATTTTAATTTTTTCAACCTTACACATAGAAAGAACATTATTTTTTATACAAGCTTTTTTACCTGTTTTTCAATTTATATATTTTCTGTTCTTTATCTCTCAGAGTTTTCTTCTAAGATTCTTTTCTGTATTCCAAAAGTACACTCTTTAGAAGTTTCACTATTGAAAGACAGTTAGCAGTGAGCTTTCAGTTTATTGAATCTTTAGCTTTGAAGAACAATTTTGTTGACTAAATAACGTTAAATATACAGCTCCCCACTCACTGACTTTTAGCTCTTTAATATATCATCCTGTAGATTTTTAGTCAATTCTTTATTTTATCAAACAATTTTGTAGTATGCAGTGTTTGTTATTCTACATTGTAAGTGCATTCAAAAAGTCTGAACATATTTAATCCTCATAAAAACCTTAAGTAGTAGACATTATTATCTCTCTCATTTTATAAGGACTATGGCAGATGGAATAATGTCCCTCAAAAATGTTTAGGTTGGCCAGGCGCGGTGGCTTACGCCTGTAATCCCGGCACTTTGGGAGGCTGAGGTGGGCGGATCATGAGGTCAAGATATCAAGACCACCCTGGCCAACATGGTGAAACCCCGTCTCTACTAAAAATACAAAAATTAGCTGGGCATAGTGGCATGCGCCTGTAGTCCCAGCTACTTGGGAGGTTGCGGCAGGAGAATTGCTTGAAACCAGGAGGCGGAGGTTGCAGAGAGCCGAGGTCGCGCCATTGCACTCCAGCCTGGCGCCTGGCGCCTGGCGGCAGAGCAAGGCTGTCTTAAAAATATATATA